CTTTTATATAGTCATTTGACCAATGGAAATACTGTGTTTCTACATAGGATAACAAGTTACAACCTTGTAACTTTGGCAACTGTTGGTGGGTCAAATCAAATGGCTTGGCGGGCCAAATTTGGCCCGTGGGCTCCACTTTGGGCTCCTCTGCTGTAGATGAAGAATTTAGGTGCAACTCTACTTTTTTTCCCGATACTGATACCAAGTAAAATTTGGCTGGTATCAGCGATACTGATCCAATACTGATACTGTGTGATAACACACATAATGTGTCTGGTAAATCTTAAAAAGTAGCATTTTTCAAATAACTGCTTCATAAATAATAATGACATAGTAATTTATTAATTAATTTAAAAGTCTTTCTAACCTTAACCTTATATTTGTTTAGCACAATTTAAAATTCTTATTCTAAAGAAATATAATAATTTTGACTAGTGAATAAAAGTGAGAAAAAATGTTCTAAAAGTATTTTCTTTGTACATTTTGTAGCATTGTTTGTGGGTTTGCAAGAAGGTCCCTGACCAGAACTAATGCTGTTTGGGGAGGCCGTTGTGACAAATGGACCAAGCCAGGGATTGTGGGTTCAAGTCCCATCTGGGGTGCTAGTGCTGGGCAGTATACCGTTTTGTACCGAAAACCGGTTTTTATTTTTGTTATGATATGACTTTTCTGAAWACMGGTGTAAATAGCCTGAACACGTGYGGARCGTTTCATCACGACCGCCAGTGAGCTGTTTCCCTGGGGACACATTTCRTTGCAGCGCCGCTGAGCACATAGCATGCTAACGTTATTGWTGGAATAACTGGTGACGGGTGGTGTGTTTCAGCTGCTTATATGGTCTGACRTAAAAAAAACATCCAGTTTTCACCATCGCTCAATAGTAAACAACTCTTCAGTGACGTGCACAGTTAGATTTAACGCRCTACGTTATAATGGAGACGTTATTGCATGGAGACTCTAGCGTGCTTCTATTGTGAAAAGCCCGGGGGAAATAGCTTTGTAGTGTAGCGGAGTTGACTGGTGTGCAAGGTGAGTCGTCCTTTTAAGTTTTATGAACACGCAACGATGGACCAGATAATGATTTTTTCTCAACCCTTCATGATCGGACCTAAATGCATGATTACTGTCTACAACCAGGCAAAGAACAAAAGACGTACAAAAGGAGGGAAACAGTCATACAGAGGTACAGTAAAAGAAAAAWGTCAATAAGAAAAGTTTGTACATTTTATTATCAGCTGAGCTGTGAGGAAAAAATACCGTCAAATACCATGAAAGCAGTGTAATTGTTGAAAATACAGTGATACAAAATTTGGGTCATACCGCCCAGCACTATGGGGTGCCATTTTTTATGTGACTGGCACCCCCTCAGACCTTGATTTCATGAACCTGTCACACTGTGGCATAAAAAAAGGTTTGGGAACCACATCTAAAATGTAATGACAGTCAGACAAAGTTGATTTTATGTTAAAATGACCTGCCACACATTTAGACTGAGTGACTAAGCACATGCCACTGTGCTTATGCACTACCCAAGTGGAAGAAAAAGTAGTTCCCTCCAACCACATGATTTACACAAGATTTGAATAGTTTAGTTTCCATTATGTTCCTGTTAATGATTATGTGAAACAAGTATCAAAGTATCGATATTTTGATTTTAGTATCGATTTTAGAGCATGAAGTTCTGGTATCGATATTTAAGTATCGATCTGGAGATCACTATAAAGGATTTGCAGAATCAGTTCAGAATGTGAGCTGATGTTCTCTCCACCATCAGCAGAAACATCACTGTACCTTGTAAACGTCTCCATATGTTCCACTTCCCACTCTCTGGATGAGCTCGAAGTCGTGCTGGGGGTTCCTCCTCTGGATCTCACCGCTTGGCCGGGGAAACATATCCATGACAGCTTGAAGCCAACAGATCCTTTACATTTAGGTGATTAAAGGTTTTATTCGAGCACAGGTCTGAATGAGTCGATTACTCAGACGGCCCCTCTCCGTGCTCCGTGTCCTGTCAAAGAAACCAGAGGTTTGAGGGAAAACCAGTTTGAACTGAAGCTTCAAAAAAAGTCTCTTAAAGTGAACGTTAAATGTTACAAGTGCCATTTATCAACAACTTTACTAGTCAACACCAGATTAATTTGAAGTTTAAAAGAGCCATTTTAAAAAGCAGTGTCACAAAAATATCAGCAACTGCTGGATTTACTTTGATTTGAACATTTGCGTTCCAGCAAATAGCCAGATCCGACCACGGACTTAGCAACAGGGCAAAGCGGCTAACGCTACAAGCTAACACGCAAACCTTTTAGCTCCGTCTGGTTCTAAACTCTAAAAACGTGCTTACCGTGTACAAGAAAAGCACAGCAGATATGGATGTATGGCATGTTTAAAGTCGTCCCCAAGCCTTCAACCAGGCCGTGACGTCGAACAGCAACAGAAAAGGAAAAGCGGAGCTCTTTTGTTATCGAGGAAACTGTAGTAAACTTCGGTCCGTCTGTTAGAGAAGTGCTGATGAAACCTCGGCTTTAACTTGATGTCACGTCATTTCCCTCTGCGGACACTTTCAGACGCGTACCACACTCGGGTGTGTAACGGTAACAGCAAACTATTATAAAAGACGAATCAAACTTCATTTAGTTTAAAAACGCTCCCATTAAACGCAACAGCGCGTCGCTAATCCGCCGTAGTTGCAACAGGACCCGTGTGGTGCGTTCACGGTAACTTGGAAAATCTGACATCTCAACAGGAAAAGTAGACGTCATTTTTAGTGCTACATCCGGAATTAAATAAACAAAATCACAACAATAATGATTCATTTTGATATAAATACCAGCTTRACCTTTAACCTTAGTAAATATTCAAACTTTATTACAGACTCAAGGTCCACAAAGCAAAGACAATGAAAGCAGATCAATACTAATACAATAATAAAGTCTTGAATCTATGGCTTTTGAAATTAATGTTTTAGTTTTGTTCAAATTCTGTTATTTCAAATCAAGCCACACAGTGAATATTGTGTGAATTTATTTTACCCTTGTTTTTACTCTTTCTGCAATGAACGGCTCAGATGTTGCTAATTATTCCAAATAGTTTATATGTCTGGAAAAATGTGTCTTTAAAAACGTTGTTTTTGTAAAACTGCCCTTTTGAATACAATAATAATATATTTCCTTTAGTTAATATTGGTGRTTTATTGTCTTATTTTTTTACGTCAGGTACGTGAAAGTAGCACGCCTTCCAAAAGGGTTGTGTAACTGCACCACCTACCGACGCCCTGGTTTGTTTCGCCATCTTGGTAGGTGCTATACGAGGCCAAAATCATGCCTTATTGATGCCAAAAACTAAATTCAGTCGTTAGCCGTAATGATTACTGGTTGAAAACTAATAGTAACAAAATACTGGCTTACAGCTTAGAGCAGCAAAAGGCTAACTAAAAGATAAAGTTACCAAAACACTGGCTAAAAACTGAAACAACAACAACAAACAGCGTTGTATAAAGTACCTCAAAGTGATACTTGAGTAAAAGTACTAGTATCTTATCATAAAAATACTTTGGTAAAAGTTAAAGTCTTCTCTAAAAATATTTCTTGAGTAAAATTCTTAAAGTATCTGATATTTTTTGTACTTAAGTAT